CTGTTACAAAACTGGCTGATTAATAGTTGTGTTTGTCCAGGTTTTATAAATTGGAGAGAGAGAAATTATCATTCCCCTTTGAACTGGCCTTAGAGGAACAGATTTTGTTCTTGGGGCACATGATTATAGTAAATGATTATCACGTTCCCTACTAAAGGCAATAAGGTTGCATTGCAATTATGTATTCAGATTCTTTCCTTTGCAACATTTAATACTGGAGTAAATATTTACATTAGCATCAGTCTCTTCTATGTAGACTTGATTCCTGTTTACATTTATGTTCACATTTAAACAGAGATTAACAAATGGAAATAATTATTTTAGCTGAACTTTATATACATGTGAAATGATTTCTCAGTTATACCCAAACCGTCTTTGATCATGCTTTAAAGCAGTTGACCAGGACAGGAAGTTGCTGGCTGCCAACACGTTCTCAGTGGTAAGAGCTTCACTCTTGCCTCCTGTGACATCAGATCCACAGTACTGTGGATGCTCCCTTGCATGCATGCTCCCTTGCACCAGGATGCAGGAGCAGGGTGTTTTCTGTTTGTTCTGAAAAGGTATGGGTTTATATTGAAAGCTCCACCTGCTTTTCATTCAGTTGATAATATGCACAGTGATGTTTCTGTCTCTCTTTACATGTGCTGATTTGTGCTTTCACATGTATTTGGTTGGAATACTTCTCAGTCTAATGTTCAGAATTGGAGTTTTTCTATACTTCATAATATCGCTCATTTTCTGTCTTTTTGGCATTTAAAATTTCAGGGTTGTAATCAATCTTTATTAGTAAGGTGTAGAGAGATTGGGCTTTCCAGGTGGCGCTAGTGGTAAAGAACCAACTTGCCAATGCAGCAGATGTAAGAGATGTGGGTTCAATCCCTGGGTTGGGAAGATCCCCTGGAGGAGGTCATGGCAACCTACTCCAGTATTTTTGCCTGGAGAATCCCATGGACAGAGGAGCTTGGTAGACTACAGTCCATAGCAGAATCGGACACCGCTGAAGCGGCTTAGCACTCACATAGAAAAGATAGCATTTTTATTCTTTAATTTTCAAAGTAACCTATAAAGGTAAATTATGCTTATTATAGAAAATCTGAAGAATACAGATAAGCAGAAAAAAAAGAGGAAGAAAAATCCAGAAGTTTCTTCCATAGATGCCCCCTATCACTCTTAATAAAAATATAGGGCTGCTCTAGCCTATTATGTTCTTAATGGAATATTGTAATGGTTATTAAATCAGCTGACTCAGAATCTCTTTTTAATAAATGAGTCAGACTGTATTATCCAATTACTGTCAGCTGCTACCTTTCCCGAGAGCAAAAATGGTTACCCCAATTGAATTTTTTAAGCTTTTGTCATCTTTGGGAAACAAGGTGAGAGTCTAAGACTTAAATTGACCTGAAGTTGGAGGTGTTGATGGCGCCTCCCTCATGAGCATGGACTTTTAATGGGAACCATGGTTACACTGTACTGTTCTTAAGGACCTACCAGACAGGAAGAAGGAAAGAGGGAAGCTTCCTTTGGAAAGGAAACAGAGCTTAGCTCATCTTGATCCCCCAGGACTGAGAGTGTTTTTGCAATTCTTTGAAAATTGACACTGCCCTTAGCCACACTATGCACATGCAGAATGACAGCAGAGTTAAACAGAGACCAAGTTTAAACTTTTGAAATTCTTATTAGAAATAAGTTTAATTAATTGCCCATTACTCTCTCTCCCCCTACTTCAGTTTTAAATTTAAAAGTATAGAATGAATTATGTTAACCAGTTACAAAAATGTTTTGGGTTCCTCTCTCTTTCTCTGATTCATCATCATTTGACCCTCTGATGATAAGTAAGTGTGAATGTGGGAAATGAGCAGAGAAGTTAACAACAGCAGGATAAATGGGTGGGCATGTCTGATATTTAAATTGGAGCATCCTGGCTTCTGCTTGTTATTTGCTGTGTAATAATTCAGATATATTTTCTCTCCTATTCAAATAACTAGGACAAGTTATTTGTTGGAAAAGACCTCTAGGTAACTTCGAAATAAAAGGCAGATAGAACTTCCAACATTTTTTTTAATATTATAATGTGCTTTTAAACTATAAAGAGTTCTGAAAATGCTGGATGCTGTTGTCATTATCATTGCTATAAGTGCCCTCTCAAAGTGTGGAATTCATGAAAAAGAAATCTGCACTAATAATGCATAAATACTTTATGAGCATGTGTCACCTTTTTGTGAATTCACTGGACTCTATTTTGATTATTTAACATTTTGTGACCAAACTTCTCTATTCTTAGAATGGGAAATAAATAAAAATTGATGAGGACATTTTCCTTATACTACCTTATTTATTTTCCCTTATATTATTTTGCTAAACAAAATATGCCTAGTCCTGAAAGATAACATCACATTGAAGATCACCCTCACTTGCATAATTTACATTATGTTCATGTAACAGTCAATCATTTGGAGAAGGCAGTGGCACCCCACTCCAGTACTCGGCTGGAAAATCCCATGGACGGAGGAGCCTGGTAGGCTGCAGTCCATGGGGTCGCTAAGAGTCGGACACGACTGAGCGACTTCACTTTCACTTTTCACTTTCATGCATTGGAGAAGGAAATGGCAACCCACTCCAGTGTTCTTGCCTAGAGAATCCCAGGGACAGGGGAGCCTGGTGGGCTGCTGTCTATGGGGTTGCACAGAGTCGGACACGACTGAAGCAACTTAGCAGCAGCAGCAGCAACAGTCAGTCATTATTCCCAAGAAAACTCATTAGACCTACATACGTGTGCATGCGTGCTAAGTCCCTTCAGTCGTGTCCAACTCTGTGACCCCATGGACTGTATCCCGTGAGGCTCCTCTGTCCATGGGATTCTCCAGGCGAGAATACTGGTGTGGGTTGTCATGTCCTCCTCCAGGGGATCTTCCAGACCCAGGGATCAAACCCTCTTCCCTTATGTCTGCTGCCCTGGCAGGCAATTTCTTTATCACTTGCACCACCTGAGAAGCCCCAGGCCTATATATTTTCCTCAACAGATGTTGCAAGTTCAAGAATTCTGGAACAAATATGTATACCTCCTCAGACTCACAGACCACATCTTGGTTCTTGTGCAAAACACATAATTTAAGGATGAAGTTGGAACTCTTAGTTACCTTCATACTATCACAAGAAAGTTATACAGCGTTGAGGAAATAGAAAATATTTAAATTTGGCAAGTGTTTCTGACGGTTAACTTACTGACCCAATTCTCTACAATAAACAGTGTTTCTTATATTACTACATATCCAAAATTTAGAAAAATTTTGGTGCCTTTAGGATTTTAAAAAAGAGAGAGAGAAAGGAACAGATGAAAAAACCCTTGATCTTATATAATCCCTAAAGCTTTTTGTATAACCCCTTGTCATGTCAGTATGCACAATTAAACTCCTTCTTACATAATTATAATCAAGGAATTTACTGTGCCACCCAAATACAGAGTAGGTTTTTATCTCCTGTGAAATGTAGACAGTACTGGGTGGCTTAATTAGTGCTTTGCTTCTCTTTTTACAAATTCCAATCCTCTGCTTCTAAAGACTCATACTTGTGTGAGAAGAAAGATTAGGAATACAAATAGAGTGATTTTACTCCTAGTTAGCTAATAATAATTCACTTTGTAATTGGGCCTTTATGTTGCCAGTAATATCAACTGGTGAAGGATTTCTGCACGCCTCTTGTGTTGACTCAAACGAAGCAACTTTGGAGTGTAGACTCATTACCCCTACAGTGGGAATGTATTTTTCATTCCCTCAACCTGGACTGTCTGACACAGATATTTCTTAGTAGCTTTTCTAATCACTGCAAATAAGAGAAGATAAAAGTATAACTTGATAGCATTTCAGGTTAAACGGAAGCCTCTTAGCCCTTATTTTCCTGATGAGAGTCTTGGGAGTAGTTGGTTTCTGACATAGTATATCTGCTAAAATCATGGACCCTGAGGCCAGGCTGCCTGGGTTTAAGTTCTGTTTCCACCAAGAATTGCTCCTGTGACTCAGAGCAAAGTCAGTTCAACTCTCTGAGCATCATTTTTCTCATCTCTAAAAGGGGAATAAGAGTATAATAATGTTGTTGTTAAACTGAGTGAATTCATGTCTTAGAACAACAGTGTCTGGAACACAGTAGGCACCAAAGCAATGGGTTGTTCATTCTCATGCTACTGGTTTTCATTTCTTACAACTGAAAATTAAAACAAGTTAGAATAATCCTTAAATGCATAATTTCATAAACATTTTGATGAAAAAAACATACAAATGATGTTTTCTACTTACAACACAAACTTTTCATTTTATATAACAATTGTTATTACATTGAAATATTTTTCTACCATCTTGTTTCTAAGCTATCAAAGAAAACGCCAGGACCAGTCAAAAGTGAGCCTGGAGCTCACCAAAGTGCCTTTGGAGAAATACAGGCAGAGGCTAGATCCAGGGGGTAAAATTGAGACTGTCTTACCTGGCGTGCTGCAGTTCATGGGGTCGCAAAGATTTGGACACGACTGAGCGACTGAACTGATACTGATACAAAATAAAGGGAACAAGGTACTGAGAAGATATGGAGGATAGGACTGCCAATCAGGAAAATAACACTTATAAAATACTATGAGCATTAATAATATTTCAAAATTGCCAGAAAATCTTGGAAGTATAAAAATCTGTGTCAATGGGAAAACCACTAAAAAAACTTATGGTTAGTAATAGAAAGCTCTAGAACCTTCGTGAGAAACCAGAAGGCCTGAGGAAGTAGTTCATTCTTCTATGGGCCCTTTGTTTTAGGACTTTGGGAAGACACAGCCTATAAAATCTTGATTAGAGAAGGAAATGGCAACCCACTCCGGTATTCTTGCCTGGAGAATCCCCATGGACCAAGAAGCCTGGTGGGCTACAGTCCATGGGGTCGCAAAGAGTCAGACACAACTGAGCGACTGAACATACATAAAATCTTACTAGTTAGAGGAAAGGAGATGCCTCATTACTGACTTACCAATTATACTTTCAAAGCTTAACACACACTGCCGTAAGATAAAACCTGCCTTGGGACTATCATTCGATTTTAAATTCCAGAAATGTTTTCAATTGATATAAATTAATAAATAATGTGAAATTAACCAGAACCCATATATACTACTACTGATTGATTTTTGGTGCTGGAAAGAGTTTAATGTACGGAGTTATAGGTAACTCACTAGTCTGGCAAAGATGTGATGGGCGTCACCTTTTCTGCTCACATGCTTTCCTTGACAGATGAAGGGCTGAACCACGAGTGCAAACTTTGCAGCCAAACCTTCGACTCCCCCGCCAAGCTGCAGTGCCACCTGATCGAGCACAGCTTCGAAGGGATGGGCGGCACCTTCAAGTGTCCCGTCTGCTTTACAGGTAGGAAGATGATTCTGGAAAACTCGGGAGAGGTTCTTGACCACATGTCTTTCCTACCAAGGCATACTTTCCCACCGCTGTGGCCTTTTACAGATCTGACTGCGGTTCAATTTAGGGAGAAGATGTTTGATTTCTGCTGATTAGCATTATTGATCGCTGCCTACTTTAAAGGCTCAGACGGTCAGGAAGGTTAACTGTCAGGATGAACAAATGGCATTTCAAGTTCTCTCCGAAGTTTGCACTCTTCTGTTTCTAAAATGACATCCATGTTCCGTTCACTTTTCTCCCCTCGATGTTAAAAGGTTAGCGAGACAAAGGGAGCTTTTTCATAGCAAGACATGAGACTAAAAGTACAGCCGTGTTGTCAACACATGTCTGTTATTTAAACATGGAGAATTTTATAACATTTCCCCATATGAAATTTAAAGTCATTATTAGAACCCTCCTCCAATTCGTTGAACTAGAAAACAGATTAGATGAGGTCTTATTTCCTGTGAAGATCAGTTTGAGCAAACTCAGAGAGATAGTGGAGGACAGAGGAGTCTGGTGGGCTGCAGTCCACAAGTTTGCAGAGAGTCAGGCATGACTTAGCGACTGAACAACAACATTATGTTTACGCTTTTAAGAAGAAACTTATGAGATGCTGTAACATTACCGTTTTCAGCAGAAGCAGCAGCAAAAAAAAAAAAAAAAGTAAATCAGAAGCTGTAATTTGAAGCCCATAGGGGTTGAAATATGATCACACACATTTCTGCTGCTCCTGTAACAGTGACAAAGTTATTTTGGAAAATCCTTTGTGATCATTTTGCCTGTGTCTTGGACTCATTGTTCAAACCCCTCAAGGCTATGTGCCCTTCTTATTTGTCAGAAAAAGCAAAACAAAACAAAAATATATCCTTCTCTTAAAACCGCCTTCTTGGTTTGTGGGGCAAAATTCCAAAGCATTGATTGTTAACCTTCACTGCATTCAGCCTGTAGATTTCTGTCCTGTGATTAAATCAAAAGTGAGAGGCCATGTCCAGTTAAATACTACCAGACTGTGTTGGTGGTTCTGTCTTTACCATTTGCCTATGAGGCTCCTTCATTTCAGTAGTTGCATCCCATTCGGCCACTCCTTCTTTTGGAACTATTTTTTGATTCCTCTAACTTTTTATTTAAAATATATATATATTATGTTTTATTATAACGTAGTATTTGTCTAAAGATACGATGCGTCAGGAGTCTGGTTTCTTTATGAAAGTTCATAGTAAGTCCTCATAAGGAGGACTGCTCATAGATCTCTTCATGATTAAGACCCCTAATAAAACAGCCCTTTCATCTTATGGCCAGAAGCCTCATAAAATGTGCTACGTAAGGTGGAGATTCATTGCAAATCAGTATCAAAACCTCATTTCTTTGGGTTGACATAGGTAAAAGGCAAAAATGCATTAATCATGAACGGTCTGCTTTTCCAGTGCCGACAGACTTAAATTGTTTAGTGTATCTTGAAGTAATTTTAGAAAAAAACAAAACAAAATCCTCTTCCATTATAAAGCATGTTAAGTGAAAGAAGAAATCTGAGCAATGTTTAAAGTAATGAGAAATATGATTAAAATGTATGACTCACAAGAACAATATTCTAATATTTTAGGTTGGCTGGCAATTAGAATAATTTTAATGATTAGAATAGAGTCAAAGTCAAATGCCAACATCTTTAATAAATCCTTTCCCTGCCTATACAGATTAATATTGTAGATGCAAACTTTTTTAGGTCACAGTGCACCAGGCATCCATCAGAAGTCAGTTCTCCCAACCCAAACACTGCCTCTGGCATATACAATTTAATTATTAATAGTATGTCTCCTAGGTAAACTGTTACACAGTCTTAGGGCCTTGTTTTGTAGTCATTAAAATTGAACATGTTTATATTATTGAAACCCTTGCATTCCGTGTGTAGGCTGAGTTGATCTTAAAGTATCCAAAGAGAATTTACCTGCCGTTCTGTTTCACATTTATAGACAGTGCCCCAGAGTAGCTGTGGGATATCATTTTTAGCATTAACACATTTAAATAGAGAACTGTTTGCTAGCTGTAACTTTAGGCAAATACAATAAACTGGGTTTTGGCATCTATGATTTTGTAACCTGTGGGTTGCTGAGAAATAAGACTCATTTCTGTTCAGACAGTGCTGTGCGTTTGACAATTTTCATTTTAAAAGATTTATGGGGAGCAGGGCCTCGATAAACCTTTACTTTGGAGCTGTTTGTGTTGAATTAGGTGCTCGGTAGAGTGCATCTTAACAAAAGCCAGAGACCCAACCCTAAGCATGTGTGACGTTGCTCTCCCCTGGGCCCTGGCAGAGGTCACACCCAGAAGGCACTCCATTCAGTCCATTCCTCTGCCGCAGTTCACAGGGAGCCATCGACGGAGGGCATTTCGGAATGAAAATAACCCCAAGTTCACTCTCCTTTTATCATTTCAGTGTTTGTTCAAGCAAACAAGTTGCAGCAGCATATTTTCTCTGCCCATGGACAAGAAGACAAGATCTATGACTGCACGCAATGTCCACAGAAGTTTTTCTTCCAAACAGAGCTGCAGGTAATGTCCCCATGGGGAGGATGGGCATTGAACTCGGTCGCTCTACTTATAGGAAACAAGGGCATTTTAAGTCTGGATTCACTGTATCACTCACCCTGGGCCACCATGATGCTTTGTATGGATTGGGGCAAAGGGAAAATTAGAGGCTGGATTAACAGACACCAAAGTCATTTTGCCTCTGGCTGCTGTCAATCATAAAAAGAACTAGAACAGACCTATAATTGGACCTTCTGACCCAGTGTGATAGACTGCAGGGTCAGGTTTATTGGACTGTGGGATCATTCACCTCGTTCGTCAGGGCCCATTCTCCCAAACCCTGTTTTATTCATGTTCTGTTCCCACTGGGCTTCAAGCTGGATGGATGTCCAGGTTATTGTTGTCCTGAGGGGCTTAAAATTGGAAGGAAGAAGGGAAGAGAGGGAGGAAGCTATACTCTTGTCCAGTATGTTTCTTGTACTTAACGGAATGGAATAATTATTATTTAGTGGCAGCCTTTAGGTACAAATTTTGGCACCCAAAGATGTTAGCTTTGAATGTCGCACTTGCAAAATGTGTGACCTTGTGCTTGTCAATAATGTTTCTGAACCTCAGATGTGAAGAAATGATAGACAAGATGTAACACTCACAGGGCTGTTATTAGGTAAAATGAAATAAAAGTTCTGAATATGGGGTATAAACTCTAAAATAGAATAGAAATGTTTGGTCAATTTGATTATTCTTAACAATAGACTGGTATCAGTCAGAGACCTGGATCCTAACCCAGAAATGTCACTTATTATAAAAGGGAAATAAGTGTTTTTTTTCTTCTTACTTCATCTGAAAAAATGGGTCTAATATATATCCTCATTTTTCAGATGGAATAATATAAGAGTAATAATTTTTTTATTAAATCTTGTTGGTGCCTGTGGAGGAGAATGAATTAGAATCCAGTTATTTCATTATTGTGAGGATTACTATTAACCATAAAGTTATTTAGACTAAAATAGGGTAAGGATGATTTTTTTCCCTTTGGTATCAAATTCCCTAAATAACTAGAAGAGGGTCTGATGTGGTTGACATGGTTGAGGTAGGACTAAGGGACCCAAAGCCCCACCTACTCCTTCATCTCCCATCCCACGCTATGGACCCCAGGGCAGCTTTAGAATTCCTTGGGCTGTAGGGAAGCCATATTTATGTGAGTTTTGTATCAAAATAAGGAATTTTTATCCTATCAGTGAACACATAGCAAATAAAGACGTAAGATAAAAAATACATGAAAGAATGGGTGATGCCATTTAGTTGTTATGATGTGTCAATGCACCAAACTTAAAGTTGCTATAGTGCTTTTCATCACTTCAAAAAAAAAAAGAATTCTACTCTGTCACATGTATGTGCATTGAATATAGAAGATAGACCAAGTTAGACTATTATTTAAAAGTACATTTCATTAAAATAACCTACATTTCTATTGGAAAACTAATATTCTCATTGCCATATGTATGGGAGGGTAAGTCCTTTGTCTTAAGATTTTAAAGGATATGGCCAGTATGCCTAAATGATGCTGTTAATTAATATGTAAACTGTGAAGCAGAATTCCTAATAGTTTAAAATCAAAGTTGTAGAGACTGGCTTCCTGCTAATGTTTCTGGGGAAAAGTTTGCAACAAGTTCACTTTTGTAGATTCCAATGCTAACCCTAACCCTAACTGAGTGGGCTTCCCAGGTGGCTCAGTGGTAAAGAATCTGCCTGCCAAGCTAGAGATGCGAATTCAATCCCTCATCAGGAAGACCCCCTGGAGAAGGAAATGGCAACCCACTTCAGTTTCCTTGCCTGGGAAATCCCATGGACAGAGGAGCCTGGAAGGCTACAGTCCATGGGGTCACAACGAGTGGGATGTGACTCAGTAACTAAACAACAACACTGCTACTGACCTGATGGTCACTTCAGTGTCTTTCATTAAAACAACCCCACACTCTGGCAGTGGTGACATGTGGCACATTGGCTAGCAGACAAAAGTAAGCAATTAAACACATTCTCTGGGACTCCAGGTTTCTTTCATAGTGTAACTTGGAGTTTCACTGTACAGTCTTTGCATTAGTGTATAGACCAGGGGTTCTCTACCTTTTTGATAGCAGGATGTCTTGACACTTAAAAATTATTGAAGGCCACAAAGCACTTTGATGTACATGGGTTACTGTATACTGAGGGGCTTCCCAAGTGGCGCTAGTGGTAAAGAATCCACCTGCCAACGCAGAGGGCGCAGGAGAAGTGGGTTCAGTCCCTGGGTCGGGAAGATCCCCAGGAGTAGGAAATGGCACCCACTCCAGGATTCTTGCCTGGAGAATTCCACGGACAGAGGAACCTGGTGGGCTACAGTCCATGGGGCCGCAAAGGGTCCAACATGACTTAGCGACTGTGCACACTCACATTATGTATTAATATTTTCCATATTAGAAGTCAAAATTGAGAAACATTTTAAACACAAAAATACACAAATTTGTGATCCTATTAGCTGTCAGAGAAATTATATCTTCACTTGTCAAGTAGCCCTTAGAAAATGCCACTGTACACTCATGAGCTAATGAGAGCATAAAGGGCAAACAGTATTTTAATGTTATTACGAAAATAGTCTTAACTTCACAGACTCCTCACAGGATCTAGGAGACCCTCAGAGGTCCCCGAGCCACACTTTGAGAACCGCTGGTATAGAAGACATAGTATAGAACACAGAACTCAGTTTTTGAGTCTTTATGACTTTATGAGGTCAAACATCTCTCAAAACACCTCTGACTCATTCATTCACATTGTGATCTGAGCCACAATAAGGCTTCTTTCACAATCCAAAGCTGTGGACTTACTTTTCTAACCCCACCTCAGAATCATACATATTTGGCCTTGATGTGAATACTCAGGCTCAAAATGTGTATCACTCCTTTGATAAAACAATATTTATAGTTAGTTAATGTGTGATAATTATTACAAAGCTAGTATCCACAGTCATTGAAATATCTATGTAGGTCTGTTTTCTAAAATCTTTAGTAGTAACAGTGGCTTTTAATTTCAATACATTAAGAAAAATGGGTCAGAGCTTACTTTTTCTAATTTTGAGACCTTTTGGATTTTTATGATTTAAACTTAGGGGCTCATAGTTCTGTGCATTTGTCTTCATCCCCACATCACTTCACACCTATGCTTAGAGGATGGAGTTAATATGACTTTAAAATATTTATTTTAGTTCCTATATAGAGAGTGGTTAGAGTAAGGATACTAAAAAAGACAGTTTTGTTAATTTCTAAGAATGAGGGGGGAAATCAGTTGAAATTGAGGTGGCAAGAGAAAATAAGATCAGTAACCAAAATAATAACCGAGTAGAAAATGGAAGCCCTTTTACCAGCCCACAGTATTTCATTCCTTGGTATGGAAAATTAAGAGATTTTGAAATTGGTCCATGTCATACCACTTAAACTCATCTACTTTTTTATGCCACTAAAGTTCAGAAAGAAGAATTTTTCACAAGAGGCATTTTATAAACCAAATGCAATGCCCAGGAACTGGAGATCGGCAATTGGAAAGCATATAGTTTATTTGGCTCTTATTTTAGAGTGAGACTAATAGGGTAATTTTACAGAATTGCCCAGGAACATCACTGTAGTTGGGCTTCCCAGATAGTGCTAGTGGTAAAGAGTCCACCTAGCAACACAGGAGACCTAAGAGACATGGGTTCGATCCCTGGGTGGGGAAGATCCCCTGGCCAAGGGCATGGCAATCCACTCCAGTATTCTTGCCTGGGGAAATCCCATGGACAGAGGAGCCTGGAGGGCTACCGTCCATAAGGTCGGAAAGAGTCAGACACGACTGAAGTATCTTAGCACACACACACCACTGTGGTCATGGTGCATAAATGATTTAATGACCATAATAAACAATTTACATTTCTTTCACTGTTTATACCTATTTGAAAACACAAAAACATCTTTTCAAGGATAGAAGTGCTTTGTTGAGTATAAAATCTCACACATACACACATGGAGATATGTTGTTTTCATTAACATCACCTACAATACTAGTCAGAATTCAGATAGTTCCTCATAATACACTATCCATCTTTAGGAATGAAGGACTCAAGTGTCATCCTTTGACATTACAGACCACAGTTTTTTTTAGAATTAAGCAAGACACAACTTCTGTTTCTATGAACACTCCATCTATGACTTGCCAGGGTGGAAGCTATTGTCTTCTCATGACCCTGAATCCTTTCTGACCAGAAGTTCCAAATGTCAGTCCAGAGAAGTGTAATGTGTAATTCCTGGCAGGATATCATATTTTCTTCTGGTAGACTTTTCCTCCCTTCTTGCAAGGAATTCTAATATACTTCAAAGGCCACCTAGCCTGCTGGTCAGGAAGATGTGCTTTGGAATAAGAGTGCATTATTTGAACTAAGTTAACATTTTGTTATTTTAAAAGCAAATGAATATGTTGAATGTTTCACATGTTTTCCTAATAGACCTCAAAACATTTTCTGCAAAACTTAAGGAAGCTGCTTTGAGAGAATAGTATGGTCCAAGAATAATATCCTACAATGCATATTTGTATCCAGAATGGTTTATACAGGTGTGAGCAAGTGGTGTGTTTGTAAAAATTCTGTTGAATAGGCCACTTTCTTTCAATACAGTAATTACTGTTTCATTGGTGCCTCTAGAAAAGCTAAAATTCAATGGCAGTGATCAAACCATCCTCTTCCAATGGGTCCCCATAGAAAGTTCTCTGAAGCATCATGTCATGAATGTAATGGACTTGGAGGAAATTCCGGTGGTGGGAAGAGAGGGAATTGGCCTAGTTGAACTTGAGGCTCTGAGATTTCTGGTATTAAGTTTCTTTTGAGTCAAAGATTATTTTGATACTTGACCTTTTCTTCATTAGTCCATGGATGCAGTATTTTCCGCATAGAAAATACAGAAGTGATTTGACATTCTGAGGGACACACCAAGACTTTCAGTTATCACTGAAGTTTAAATACATAA